CAATAGCATCTTCTATAAAGTGAGGTGTTATACCTCACATGGTTGTTAAAAATGCGTGAAGAAAAGGCTGATGAAAGCACTTTTAAACTTTTTTCTAATGACAAAAGTAATACATGTTCAAAGCAAGCACCTTACAAAGCAGAAAAATACTAAGAAAAATGCCAAAGAAGAACTCATAATCTAACCAATCAAGGAGAATAGATAGTATTTCAATATGTCTTCTCAATTATCTTATAAGTGTGTGCGCACATGCACATACACACACAAATACACTTCTTTTTAAACAATAATAGCATCTTGAATGTTCATACTATTTTTGTAGCCTGCATTTCTACTTAGCAATAATATACTGTAAAAAATTTCCCGTTCCAATATTCTTGATCCACGTGCTTAGGAAAACACTTAAAACTGTAAATGGCCCTTCAAATATCAGTAGTTATTATGAAAATATGAATAAATTACTATATTCATTTCTCCCTCAATACACACAAAATCTGAAGTACCCAAAAGGTCTCCCTGCGTTATTTTATTGGCAGTTTTCTAAGTAAGCTATAAGGTGAACAGAATTCTTTTCTTCTTTTTTTTTCTTTCATAATCTTTTCTTTTTGATAACTAGGAAGACAAAAGTTATAAGATGAGATTGCATGCCAGCAAATTTTACTTTAAATGACTTTGATTATTCTCTCCAAATTTGCTTTTCCAGCAATGCATGGATTCTGTTGGGATGTGCTACATGTATACCCTCATGCTTTCCATTGACATAAGTTACAAATGATTATCCAGAAGTCTGGACCCACTGCCCTTTTGTTTTCCATTTCCAAGATCTTTTGCTCTCATGAAGAATATATACACATTTTTTATGTACACCAGTAGAAAGTAAATTGAAAGTCTGATTTGGAAGTGGTACAGAAATGATGAGTGGGCAAGTTAATTTGGTATGAGGATGTTTTGCCCACCTCAGCTGACCTGAATTGAGATTTGGAGATGTGGGAACTCATTCTGACTCTCATTATTCATGCATCTTGAGCAAGCCACTCACCTTCCCTCAACCTTGGTTTCTTCATCTATAAAATGTCAGGAGTAGAGTAGATAATCTCTGTACTTCTAAGATTGAAGGCCACATTTGGAAAGTCATGTGTGCATTCTGATGGAACACAGGAGATACAGTGGACGGATATGCCTTAGAAGAGTTCTAACCAGCTGCTTACATAGTGAAAACTCCTGTGCCACTTATTAATTGCACCCCTACTTGAGCTTCCCAAGTGCTCTCACTCCCTACTCCCTCCCCCTTCACTTCCCTGGCTTATATCCCCCATTCCTCTAAACTCCAGTAACTAAGGGGCCTCCAGCTGTCATTCATACTGATTGGTCAGCGCCCAACTGTGTAACCGTTTAAAAATATTTTGAATATCACCCTGGATATGAGAAACTCCTTTGCATTTCCACTGCAGAAGACATACCTGCTCATCGTAGAGGCTAAATCCATGTAACTAAACCCTTTGGGGCTCACAAAATTGGAGACTATGTTTGAAATAGGCCATTTTTATGGAGGTTGCAGTGAGCCAAGATTGCACAACTACACTCCAGCCTGAGTCACAAGAGCAAAACTTCATCTCAGAAAAAAGAAATTGGCCATTTTTACATGTAATGGGTAAAAGTAAAATGAAAACCTTAACTGAATTTTATGAGTTTTAACAACAATCATAAATTAGATATATTTATTTTTCTATATGTACAGGTGTTTTATTGTTTTAAAAAATAAAGGGAATTTTAAAAAAACTTTAGTTCTAGACTTCAAAATAACAGAACATACGAATGTGTTCTCTTTTTTAAGCCTCTTTATGGAGGTATAAGTCACATACCATAAAATTCATCCATTAAAAATATGCAATTCAATGATATTCAAAGAGTTTTGCAAATATCATTGCAATCTAATTTTAGAATATTTTTATCCACCCCAAAAAGCACATATTCCTTCACAGCCACTCCCCATTCCCTTCTGCCCTCAGCCTCTGGAAACCTCTAATCTACTTTCTGTCTCTATGGATTTGCCTACTCTGTGTATTTCATATAAATAGAATCATACAATATGTCGATTTTGTGATTAGTTTCTTTCGTGTACCATATTGTATCAAAGTTATGAGTGCATTTTTGATATCTGAATCAAGTTGAAACTAGAAGCAATCTTGGGCAAAACTTGAAGCACACAGTAGTAACATTTGGTTTTGGTACCTTCTGACCTCTTCTTCTAGATCCAGCTCCACCCTAGCCCCCAGGGCCTTTCCTTCCCAGGCAGTTTCCCAATTTCGGTATTATCTCTTTCCCTGCAAACAAATCCCTTGTCAAATATCTGGACCTATGGAGATCTGTTTTATTTTAAAACTCCCTGTAAGTAAGGAAGCATGAGCAGTAAGAACTCAATGTACTACTCTGCCCAATGTTAATTGCCTTTAGAAGATAGTTCCTTAATAGCAATAATAGTTTTCATTTTGGAACCCTAACTAATGGCTGGGCTCTGCACCAAACTTGTAATACCTCATTCTTGGTAACCAGGAATTAGGTAATAGGTCATTCTTGCTAACCAGGCAGGTGTATACTAGTATTTTTATTTCACAGGGAAGAAGGTATGAATTCAGAGAAGTAACCCACCCAAGGCAACCCGTCTATCAAATGGCAGAAGCAGGATGTCCATCAGGTGTATTTGATTTCATGGTCCAAGCTCTTCATTGCTTCAGTTGCACAACCCAAGACACAGGTTTTTCACATTTTAGTATCTCTGAAATTGGAATGTTTCTCGTAATTGATGGCATCTTATTATACTAGTTTTTTTTTCTTGGTTTTTCTTTCTTAGTAGCATATAAAATCGTGGTGCATCTTACAATCCTTTATGTCTTTGATTTTGATAACAGCTGGTACCAAACAATATTGACTTTCTAAAGGAACTGGCCTTTAACAATGGAGTTTTAGGCATTAGCGACAGAGGTAAAAAGAGAGAAGGAGATAGGTTCTATACAGACACAGATGCCGATGTGCTGCTTCTGTGGATAAAAGTGACCTGGTAAGTGCTAACCTCATGATGCCTTAATTACAAACACTGCTCCTTTGAAATATCTAAGTTTTTACATTTCAGCATAGAGTGGTGATGGTCTTGCAGCATCAGTTTACCATTGGAGTTATTTAAACAAATTGATTTTAATTGAATTTAATTTTGAAAACATCATGACATTATTAAATGAGAGGGAGAGAAAAGGACTATCATTCACTTGCAATTACTTTTCTCTTCCTTATTTTCCGTTTCTAATAGCACATATAGATGATAGTGTTTCAACTCTAAAAAAGTTGAGGAATCACTGACCTACAGCAAAGTGACATTAGAATAGATTCCTATTTCCAATGCCTCATGCATTTTCTTCTCACACTTTCTGCCCACATTTTAAAGAAAGTGATTATAAATAAATATAAATTTTTGTGCCCAAATAATCCCCCTCCCCACATTTTGCTTTCTGCTTTCTAGAGGAGGCATTTGAAGTGTCCTTGTAAGGGCAGAAACTGAAGTAAAAGAAAGGAAGGAGGCAGGAGGAAGCACATAAGTATTCATTTGTAGTTTGGTGAGGCTGCACTCACTTGTGAAGAACAGGTGAGTACAACATGACCAAGCTGTGAGTCACAGGACTATTGGTTTTCTTGTTCTATATGGACATTCACTCGGCTGAACTGGAGTCAGGGCTGTCTTTTTCTGGACCGATTCCAAATAGAAACTTAAAAGGAGGCAGGGTATGGTGGCTTACACCTGTAATCCCAGCAATTTGGGAGGCCGAGGCAGGCAGATCACCTGAGGTCAGGAGTTCCAGACCAGCCTGGCCAATGCGGTGAAACCCCATCTCTATTGAAAATACAAAAATTAGCCAGGCATAATGGCATGTGTCTGTAGCCCCAGCTACTGAGGCAAGAGAATCACTTGAACCAGGGAGGCAGAGGTTGCAGTGAGCCAAGATAGTGTCACTGCACTCCAGCCTGGGTGACAGAGAGTTTGTTTCAAA